GATTTTTCAGAGATGTGAACTCGGCCTCTTGTGTGGAGTTTAATCGGCGCCGCTCGGTCTGCTTTTACCAACCATGGGCGGAATTTTTGTTATTGCCATAGATTTTTTCTTCTTAGGATTTTCTGAAAAGATTGACGATAATTGACAATGGTAAGCGGTTGGGACGGTGGAAAAAAAAATCGTGGGGATGGTTTTGGTTAGACCAATTTATTCCTTATTAATTGGAGTGCATTATGGTCATACCACGTTAGATGTTCTATTTTTCATATTTAAAGATAATTATGTTTAAACTAACTAAACATGTAGATTTGTATCAACGGTTAATCAAGAATAAGGTATAGATTTGGAAGATAAAATCATGGGATAATAGGAAATTTTCTGGGGAAAGTATGAAATCTAGATTTGAGATAGTTCAGCTTCAGAGAATTTCGAGGTCGGCCTTTAGGCTTTAAATGCTCGAATTAATTACGGATGATCACTGTTTATTACAATAAATATAGTGAGAGAGAATTTCTAGAGCTTGAGGGATTCTTCCCCAACAACTCCTCAATAAATGGAACATATGACTATTTATAGCTAAACATATTCGGCTATTGTTTATCTATTGTTCACCGGGTCACCTCGCACAGTAAACCGGAATGTCAGACATTAAATGAGGCATGGTTGGTCTTAAGTGATGATTAACAACCATTTAATATTGATTAACAAACATTTAATGAGGACATGATAACCTATAACTCTATGAGTCATAGGTCTGCAGAGTTTGTGGATACATCTCATCAGTAATCATTGCCTTACAAGTAGCACTATTTTATTATTTCTCGACTTTGAGTGCGCTTCGAGGTTCGACCTCTAGGTCGGACTCCAGTCTTGCCTTGACCCTTGAGGTCATACTCTTCCTTCTTGCCCTGAACATGGACTTCCTCTTGCTTCGAGCTCGAATTTTCCCCTCCCCTTGCTTGTTTTTCTGTTGTCTGCCAATTTTCAGGCTCAGACTATCTACAGCTGGGGGCTCGACCTGGACGTTGGGTCTAGGAGGACCGCCTTGGAATTCTTACTTTCGAGGATCAGTTATTTGCTTAGCTATTTCATTGAGGGCTTTAAGTTCTGGGTTTATATTTTCAACTCGGATGCCAACACTAACATTATGGTATTTATGCAAAATTGCAAATAAATGGGATGATTTTAGTGATTTTGCAAATTAAAACATATGAGTTGTGTAAATATAATAAAAATGATATGATGTAATGTAAGTATTTGAACCCAATATAGAACCCATTTAAGTGGGAAAGGAAAAATAAAAAACACCAATGATAAAAATAAATGATAAATTAAAATTCTCCCCTCAGACTTGATTCACTTGAACCACAAAAATAAATGATTGATAAATAGGGTAGAAAAAAAAAAAGGTTTTCGATAAAGGAAGGAAAAAGAAAAAAGAAAAAAACAACAGAAAAATCATTGAAATTATATTAGCAAGAAAGATTTTTCGTTTTTATTTACAACTAGTTTCTGTTTTTCATCCATTGATAAACGTCGGTAATAGCTATGGCAGGGGTAAGCATGGCTTCTTCTAGTGTTACTCCCGTCGCGCCTTGCGGCGGCCGCAGAGAAGCTGTTATTGTCAGAACTCCGGTTTTCAGAACCATTTTCCTTGGCCGTGGAGGTAAAATAACTCGGCACCTACTCTTAGAGTGAGCTCGTGGTTTTATCATTTATTATTTGTCAGGGTTTGGGTTTCGAAATTGTGGGTTTTTTTTTCTTAACTGCCTGATTGGATAACCGTGAGATGGAATTGATGGTCTAAGGTGAGGCTCCCATATTTTAGTGAGGATGTATTATCCAGTGAATTTGTCATTTGTAATGTGGCAGTGTCATTTTCATTTGGGGGAGAAAGGAATTCAGCTTTCGTGTTTGACTATGGATTGGCAATTTTTATGTGCATTTAAGCTGGTGCTTAAAGTGGAATATGGCAGATTGCTCTTAGTTAGGAGAATGTTGCTTATCTCCGACATTTTGTGTTGTCCAGTTTATAAGTGCATTGATATGGACCTGGGATAGAAAGAAATAAAGATAAAGTTTGGTTCTGATTATGGAAAGTTGGAGAGAATATTGATCATATCTATGCCTGCTTGGATAAAACTAGGCCATGTTTATACTTATTGTAAGTATATAACCATACAATGTGTTTCCTGTTGTTCATGATGTGTTCTTTTTTAAATTTACTAGTAGATTGTTTTGTATTCCATGAACTTGAAGGACTGATTGTTGTCACAACAGTGAAATTTGCTTGCTGCTTTGATGTGTACAGTCACATGTAAATTGACATGCTTTTGTTAGATATTCTCGTAGTTCCTGGATACTAACATTCTATTTTCATTTAATTACATATTATCTACTTGCTGCTGCAATAATTATATGCAGATCCTGCTGTCATGGTATCTCTAACCAGAACCTGGTTAGATAGATAAATGGATATTCAACTCTCAATCCTGGATTATTTATTTATTTATTTATGTGACCTAATAGTATATATGCTGCTGTAAATGCTTGTTATGGTTCGTAATTTCTAGTCGTGATTGTCAATCTGCTATATTGCTCTACACTGATTGAAGGTTCTAATCTTCTTTCTAATGTTTTGGGGACCCTTCCTTTT